CCTCCTCCCCCGGCGCCACCGCCACCGCCGCCGCCGCCGCCGCCCGCCGCGCCAGGTCCTAAAGCCGCGCGTCTCAAGAGGATGGTGCGCCTGGCGGCCGAGCTGCTGCTACTGCTGGGGCTGCTGCTGCTCACGCTGCACATCACCGTGCTGCGCGGTTCGGGAGCCGCGGACCGGCCCGACGCGGCCGCGGGCAACGCCACCGGGACCCAGCTGCAGGTGAGTGCGCCGCCGGCGAGGGGCGCGCGTGGCAGCGGGGACCCGGGTGGCGGGGTGCTGAGCTAGCGCCTGACGGACGCGAGGAGGCGGGTCCCCCGTCCCACCAAAGAGCAACTGTTTTGGCAGCAGTTTTGCCGGGAAAACCTGTCTCAGGCAGAGGCGGAGCGGGGGCATGTGCCTGGACGCTGGACCCGGCTTCAAAGTCTGGCAGACCCCCTCCTCCAGGTCTGTCACGGGTCAGGTGCCGGGGGGTGCGAGGCTTGGGATGGGCGGAGGAAGTGTGGAGTATGTTTGTGTTTGCTTTGGGGTGCTGCCAGTCTTTGGTTGCCCTTTAGACGCTGAGTAATGTTATTCTGGGGGAAGGGGGAGCGGAAGCAGATTTTAACTATAGGATGATATCCCCAAACTGGGTTTGAGAGAAAGAACCCGAGGGAGTCTGCCCCTTCAGAAAGCAATGCCAAAGGTCAGGAAATAATTTGTCGAGGAGAACGGCCAGACATGCTCTCTTCGCCCACGCGGTCCCCATGCCTCCCACAGGGTGCCGAGTCAAGCCTCTTGTCTGGGATTACCTGGGGCTTTTAAACATACGGCACAGACTTCTTCCTAGCGTTCTGCCCCTGTTGAAGGTCGCCTTAGGAATGGGATTCTGATGATCTGTTCAGCTCTAAGACAGGGGAGTAGGTCGCGACTGGGGAGGGGGTAGTGGGCGTCAGACACAAGGTGAATTCTGCTTTCCGAATAAAGGATTGCCCAGGTAGGGATTTCCTGCCGCTGCCTTGGAAAGCGCTTTTCCTTGGGTCTGGGGGTGTGACAACTGTCAACACGGGGCATGGGTAGAAGTCATCAGGGATTTTCCCAGGAAGCAGCGGGAATTTTCTGGCTCCTAAAACGAGCCCCTCCAAAACTCTTTACTCTGCAATGTCGAGATAAGCATTATTCATTGTTCTCAAAGGTCTTTACAGTCATTGCCCCTGCTAATTTATTTTTTACATCTTTATGTAATTTGTTGCGAAAAACTCCACGGTTAAGGAGAGAAGAATTCATTTAAATACTTCCGCAGTGCTTACTACCTGCTACTGTTTTAAGTGCTTTACAGAATTTAATTGATTTAATGAGGTACTATACTGTTAATATCCCCCCTTTACAGATGCAAAAACTGAGGTACAGAGAGGTTAAGAAACTTGCCAAAGTTCACAGATTCCAGATTCTTGATTAATTTCACCACATTTTCTCTCTGCCAGGGTGTTATAGACTAAAGCAAGGTTGATCCTTGCAAACGAATACAAAACCAACAATGGATAAGTATACATCCCAGAGTCTCAAGTTCTTTTAAATGTGGGCCATTTCTGAAAATGTCCTATCTTTGTGGGGTCCTCTTATCTTCTCCTGTGGGAAAGCAGGTACAGTGACAGACTGACAGGATTCCTTTGGGGAATGGAAGTTACCGCCATTCTATAGACTGAGGTACACCCACCAGTCTGACACTGTAGGAATAATTCTTAATATCTTCAAGATTTCTGGAAGTCATATTTTATATATGATGCTTTCTTTCCTCGTGGACTCATGAAAAGTTGTAAAAAATGATGTTCTATGGAAAAGTAAACTTGGCAGATTTCTTTATGAGGTGTTTGCTATCATTAGAATAACCTGGGGTTGGCCTTTTCCGCCTGAACAGCAAGGTAATGAGAGAAGCAGCTGGTGGAAGTGGCAACGGCAGAGGGGAAGTGGATTAAATTCTCAGAAGGGCCTTTGGCTGAAGAACTGCCCCAAGAGAGCAGAAGAAATAGGGGATTTAGAAAGAGTATCACTCCTCGGAATATCTTGAGTCCCTAGCAGCTGCTAATCCACCAGCTTCAGTTGATCCTGTAATAGTGTTCAGTTAATCTGTCCACTCGAGGCACTTACCCAAGCAGAATGATGAGTTTAACAGTTTCGTTCATAATTTTAACTCTCTTTTGTAATTTGTTATTGTAAAAGTTTTATATTCTTCCTGACTAAAAGTTATTTCTTTGGCCCTCTGACTCTCCAAAGACATTACGATTCAAATGGAGAGGGTATGTTCTGCCGAGTGAGGAGCTCTGCAAAAGACATGCCTTAGTCTGTCATTTTCAGGCCCCAGAAAGTGAAGCCTAGTAGCAGGTGTATTTGAAAACAAAATATGGATGCTGTATTCTTTCTGTTGACTGGATATTCTTAACCTTTCTTAAACTCCATTTAAATTTGAGGGCTCTGTGATATCTTAAGCTGCTAAAATCGTTCTTTGCAACCAGAAAGTTAATCAATCCTTATACAACATTATTTTTGTTGTTATATCTACTTAAAACATTCTAAAATATGAAGTTGAAGTCAGAAATACACAATGGTGGGTAATTGACCCAAATTGTGGTATATTTGGGATCATTTAAAGAGATACACCTTTATTTAAGATCTGGTGGCTTTGACATTTCAAGGACACCCAATAAAATAGCAGTAAGAATAACAACAATAACAGCTAAGATTTGTCAAGCGCTTTTTATGTGTCAGGCACTGCACTTAGCACTTTACATATATTCACTTGTTAAATCCTCACAAAAATCCTATGAATTAGGTATGATAGTTATCCCTGTTTCATATAAAAAACTGAGGTTGGGTAACTTGCCCAACGTTGCCTTGCTAGAAGATGCTTAATTTGTTTTTGTTATTTAGTAGTGTAAAAGTCTTTGAAGAATATTTGTACCTTGGTAAAGTCATCATGCTGGCTACAAGAGAAAGAAAGCCTTTTAACAATTTACATTTTCAAACACACTTTGACAGTCTCATTGTGCCAAATATGAACATATATATGTACATATACCCATACGTTGGTACATTATACACACACAAACATATAAACATGATCTAACATGATTTTTTGGTAGTTTCAGCGTACTGGGGGGATACATTTTTTGACTCTGTGACTGTCCTGTACTGTAGGTATGCTGTTATGAGGTGGCAGTAAAATGCTTTGAGCATACTATCTCTGTTGGTTATGTGGCTCATGCAAATAATGATGTTAGTCTTTGTACTGTTTTCAATGCTGTGTTTTAAAATATCTAATAAGAAATTGTACAGTTGTCTGCAACACCTGCATAAAAATGCATGGAAACATCAACCTTTTTCACTTTTGAATGAAATCTTTTCTCCTCTTTGAAATAAGTTTGTCTCATGTTGATCAGATACTCAAATTAGTTCTTTCATGTCTTTGATTGATAATAGTAAGAAAACAATTATAAAAAATAAAAGCAGTCTGGAAGACAGAATATCCCAAAATATAGACTCCACGGGCAATAATAATAATAATGGTATCTCTTTTACTTGAAATTCAAATGAGTGCCTCTCTACTAAATCTCAGTCAGATTTAGAACCATGAATTTCTACAGATTTTAACTAATAAAGCTAGAACTCATTAAGATAGTGAGATTTAAGCAAGTATTGTAAAACATCAGATCGATTATTTTTACAATAACATTAAAGCAAACCAAACTCTGAAGTGTAAAGTGTCTTTGTTCTCTGTCTCCTAACTACCATCTTTATGAGTACTTTAAATGAGTACCTTTTGTCCCTCTCCTTTCCTTCAATAAAACAGCTTAGCTTCTTGTACTCTCTGCTTCAGATTCAAGAGTTCATCTGAGCTATTTATAGCAGTAGAAGCAAAAGCAACATTTATTTGTACTTAATACAAGTAACGTTCCTTACAATGACCCCATGGGATGGATAGCATTTATATACCCATTTCACAGATGAGGAAATTGAGGCCTGGAGAGATCTGAGTAGCTTGCCCAAGGCCACGCAGCTGTGGTGGGGCAGGGCCAGGATTCAGACCCAGGCACGCTGACTGTGGAGCCCAAGTTCTGGTTCCAGTCCATCAACAAGACTCCTCCAGCTTTGACTCAAGTCAACAGCCATTGTGTTTCTTGTTTTGTGACTTGCCTGCCCATTTTCCAGGCAGGCCATTTGCTCTTATCCCTGGAATTCTTTATAAATTATGAATAACTGTCCCACTTAGCTATTGCTACATAACAAAGCACTCCAAAACTTAGTGGCTTAAAACAACCAACATTTTATTTGCTCATGAGTTTGTGTGTCAGCAACCTGCTCTGGACTTAGCCAGGTGGTTCTTCTGCTGATCTCGCCTAGGATGACTCATGTGGCTACAGCCTTGTGTTTACTCGACATGGGCTAAGTGGTCCAAGACGACCTCACTCATACGTCTGATGTTTGGTGCTGGCTGTCACCTAGGCTGTCTTTCCACATAGTCTTTCATCCTCAAGAAGGCTAGCCCACGTCTTCACGTGGTGGACTCAGAGCAGCAAAAGAGTAAAAGCAGACGTTGCAAGTCCTCTTGACAAACTTGCACAGCATCACTTCAGCTGCATTCTATTGGCCAAACAAATCACTGGGAGGGTTCAGATTCTGGAGGACAGGAAATAGACTCCTCTTGATGGGAGGACAAGCAAAGCAACACTGCAAAGGCGCGGGTGTACCAGAGTGGGAGGAATTATTGTGGCCATCTTTGCAAAATAGCCACCATATTGACCTTTTGTCTCATATACTTTGTAAATGTTTGGACCCATTCTGCCCTCATCTTTTAACATTGTTTATGCTGCCTTTGGCCATGCAGAAACTTTCCTTTTTAAATGTAATCAGCTCTGAATCCTTTCCCTATGACTTTTGGTTTTCTTGCCTTACTTAAGAAAGTTTTCCTCAAATAAAGATTGTCAAAATCTTTAAATATATTTTGTTCTAACAGTTTTGTAGGTTTTTCGTTGTTGTTTAGAACTACAATCTACTTTGAAGTTATTTGTGGTTTAAGGTTTAAGATAAAGATAAAACTTTTGTTTTATCCCAGTGAATAGTCATTTGTACTATTATATTTGTTAAATCCTCCATTCTATAGTCATTGATACAAAATACCAATTTTATCACATATTACAATTTTCACATATCTATGTCTGTTTCTTGACCTTCATTTGTCTATTCAT